CCTGTTGTGCCTTAACAGGAAATCAAATTGCTCACACTCCACACTATTGCCTTTCACTCTCAAATTCATCCTGTAGCAACCAAACACATCCTGTTCCACCTCCTCTCCGAGTGTTAATCCAGCCCCATCCTGATACGCCCCACTCCATTTCACCTGGTTAAAAACAAATATATATATACTTTTCAAATCAACAAAAAAAAGGTTAGGTGTTCAAAAACAAGAAATGGTATCAATTGGTAATGTTTCCTTACCTCGCATTTGAAATCATGGACTTTGGCATGAAATACCGAAAGGAAGCGTTTCATGCTAAGTAGGTGCTGGAGCTCTGGACAGCTCTTTGCTACTTTTTGGAGGTAAGGCTAATATTTGCAAGTCACATCCATGCAAAAGAAAGTGATTTGCCTACTTGACAGCTTTTCTTGCAAGAACAAGGGATAAGCAAAAATGTCTCCCCTCTACATATTCAGCCAGCTCTTTCTCCATGTTGTCATTGAAGACTCGTTTGGCGACTGCTGTTCTTTCATAGCCTGGCTTTGCTACTTCTCCTATTTTTTTCTTATCCATATATCTTTTTATGGTCATCCTGCAGATCTTCATCTCCTTTCCAACCTGACGTATGGTCTTCCCCTGTTGCACCTCTTTCACTGCCTTTTCCAACTCCTCAAGAGGAGTTGGAACCCTGTCTGTCTTCCTTTTGTATTTGCGTGGCATGATGGATTTTGGTCTAAAATTAAGAATGTCACATAGTTTTAGTGATCAAATGTAAGAATACAATGTACAATAACAATAAAATACAAAAAAGTAATATATAGTAAATAATCATAAGTTGGGGTACCCAGGCCCACAAATCACCCCAAACCCACCATTTTGAAAAAAATGCATCCCCCAGCTGTTTTGAGCTAGCATCATGCTAACTGTATAGACTCATGGTGTAGCTTACTAAAGCACTAAAACATGTGTGAACTGTTTTCAAAGTTGTCTAAATTGTTCAAACACAGCAATCAAAAAACCTTGATCATAGAAATTTTACTTTGGAGGGCAAAAAAATGTTTTTTGAACTTAAATGTGCTTACCTCTCAAGCTATGTGTCTCCCTTCTTTGCAGGATGATTGAAATGGATGCCTCTTCAAAAATATGTGGTGCCATGACCAACTTCTTCTATGGTTTTCTAGATAACAGGGGTGGCAATACTTGCCCCTTGGCACAAATTACCCCACTCTCCCTATAGTGCAATAACAGCTCTTCAATGTATTATCAAATGAGTTGGTCAGTAGGGTATGAAGGGTGAAATAATACCAAATATTGAATTGTAAACAAATTAAGAAAAATACTATTTTCAGAGATGTAAGAAATGCCTTTTTCTGCTCATGAAATATCCTCTTCCTGTTCTCTGATACTTAGGTCTGTGTCGCCACCTGTTGGAAATGTGGTGTTATTACAGCATATTTGAAATGTCTATCAGGCACTGTGTAGACCACCTCTCATGACGACTTACTATTGACTGACGAAGGACCCACAAACGGCGGCTCATCGTTGAGTTTAATGGAAATTGTTAGTACAAATTATACTTTATCCATCTGAAATCTGAAACATCATAGATAACACGCCGGTAAATATTGTATTGTACAATTCTACAGCCTTTTCTTATTCAGATGGGGGTTGTATGTGTGTGAAGTGTGCACGGCCTTAAGTAATATAGCCCTAAAAGAAACGATAGCGTCGGGAAAAAGTGGCGCTTTCTATGAATGGGCTCTCAGTCCGTTGAATGCATGTCAATAAGTGAGCTATATGGGCTAACTGCGTACACAGTTTTCGCCAACTTTAAGTGTCGAGGGTAAAGATGGGTACAATGGTGCTTCATTGGCTTTGCAACGAAGGAGCTAATTTGAAAACAACCGTAAACATATATTACGAGGTCTCGCTTAGCGTAAAGTTCGTAGCCACTCTGCTAAGCTAACGTTAGCATTGCTTGTCGGTTATATGCATGTATTAAACTGAAAGCAACACTTAAGTTTGTGTTCAGCACATTTTTAACTCACTGTTAACGGCTATGCTATAACAATGATTTTGTTTTGAGAACCCAAGTATTTTGAATACCGTTCTACTTCCTCAAATGTGCAGCTAAATTAAGTTTAGTTTACATGTCACTTTTAAAGTCAACACATTGTAAAGTATCATTTAAAACACTCCACTTGAATTCAACTGTTATAATATTAACGAAGATATTACCGTTTGGACTCAAACTTCCTTCTTTCTCTACAGTTTTGAGCTGGGCTTAGTGCTCTTTTTGCAGCCCCTGAAGATCCTGGTGGGAAAACCACAGAAAGGGAGCCATGTTTCTGTACAACATCACCCTGCAGCGTGCCACTGGCATCACTCATGCCATCCATGGGAACTTTTCAGGTCAGTTGCCTTCTTTTCGTTTTTGGGTTTCTGCATTTCCCAACACTTAAAATGTATGGACTAGAAGTACAATACATGGCTTCTCCTTTGATCAATCATTCTAGAGCAAAACACTTGACCTTAAAATGATCCAGATGTCTGAGTCCATGGGGGACAGAGTTGTCTGATAACTGAATATAATATGTGTAAAATAGACCTCTCTTTGCATCAGTCTGTGTTTTCGTTTTTAAATAAGCGTCCTAGTTAATTCTCCTATCCATTTGGGTAGGTTGCCTGTCCATCATTCTGCACATATCCTCTATGCCTGTCATTTCTTTTGGATTTGTTATTTCCAAATTCACACATTTGTGCTTTTGTGTATGTGTTCTGAATGATACAGTAAATAGCATCCCAATACTGCATTGCAAACTTAAAAAACACAAAATACTAGACTTGCTTTGCCATATCTAGCCTCCAATTACTATATGTATACATGGCGGACGCATGCTGAATGCTGAAAATACTTTGTTCATCTTGGTAGGAACCAAGATGCAGGAGATCGTTGTTTCCAGGGGAAAGATCATAGAATTATTGCGGCCAGATGCCAACACGGGAAAGGTTCACACTCTGCTCACAGTGGAGGTGTTTGGTATCGTCAGATCCCTGATGGCCTTCAGACTCACCGGAGGAACAAAAGGTACGTAGCAAAACATGGACTCTATAGTAAGGACACCCTGACGGCCCGTCCACACGGCGGCATGCGTTGAAGCTTCAACGGTTCTGCCCATTCACTTTGAATGGGGTGACGTCACACTTTGCCGAACTGCATTG